TGTGTTCACGGATCATCTAATATAATCAATTAGCATTTTGGAAGAAATTATAAAATACTAATAAAATAAAACTGTTGCAACACTATGGAATTATAAAACAACTTTGCTGGTTGGGAAGTCTGGTAAATCTGAAAGAAACGACGAAAACTAAGATAAATATATCTCAGTTCCATATCACGACGAAGACCTTTGGAAAGATTTTCAAGGAACTGGGTATGAAGGTGGTATCCAAAGGACAAAGTCAGGAATTCTAAAAAATTCGGAATTCACGAATTTGAATATGAGGAATACGATACAGGAATTCATGGACAAATGTAAAGAACTATCAAAATAAGACACAGGAAACACTAAGCACACCCCTAAATATGGAAGACCGGAAAAATCAGCAGTCGCTCATCATGTTTTGCAATTCATCCATTTCATAGACTATAATTCATTGAAATTGAAACTAATTATTACAGTTCATTGTATGATTTTCATTTGAAGGGTTTTACAAAAACCGCGACACGTGGTTTGCTATACAATGAGTATAATATTCATTACTACACCAAAGGTTCCAAATAGTGCATCAAAAGTGACAAAAAAAAAGATTTCCTATCAAAAAGTATTTCAACTTACTACATTAGCAGGTTCGCCATCTGGGTTATCGAAACATTCCGCACTGAATGGGTTGATATAGTCCAACCATGACGGGCATACTCTTACCCCTTCACCTGGAGAAATATAAACTGATAATGACAGCAAGACGATGCTCCGAAACGATATCGGTGTGAACATCATGAATAGTCAAGGAGGAATGATAGTACCTTTCGGTAGCAACGATAAAAAATGTGTAATCTTTCTAGGTGAAGTTTATCGTGTAAAATTGGCGAGCCTTGTATATAATTGGTTGACTTTGCTTTGGAATTAAAAGGATTTGGAACCGAAGGATCACATGTATTTGTTTGTGGCTTCTTTTATCAGTTTCCGTTGAGTTTAAGAATATTTTGAAAATTTTCGTTATAAAAACAGTTGAGAAGTTTGATTACCAATAATATTTTCTTCCACTTCTGCTTGCGAAAGTTTCAAGGTAGCCGTTGAAGCCGAAAGAAAATATAAAGCACGGCGTAAATAACGGGTGCAACCTTACAATTTGAATACGATAATCCATGCGAGGTAGCAAATAGCTTCAACAAATACTTCATCGAATCTGCTCCTGAACTCTTGTCAACACAGAAGGATATTGGAAAGGTGAGTGGCTTTGAAAGGTCTACAGCTTTTTAGAGTAACACTCTGTTCCTGAACCCTGTCACAGAAGATGAGATACTCTCAATAATAAACAAAATGAAGAACAAGAGAAGCACAGGTATTGATGAAGTACCCATACACATACTGAAAAGCTGTGCTCATGAGATTGTATGTATTCTGACCTTCCTGATCAATAAATCTTTTGAGGAAGGAGTTTTTCCAGATGAACTGAAGATAGCGATAGTGAAACCACTTCACAAAAAAGGGGATAAGTCGGACATTTCCAACTTCAGGCCAATCAGTCTTTTAACATGTATATCAAAAATTTTTGAAATAGCAATGGTAAATCGATTAGTCAAATTTTTTACAAACTTCAAAATGTTTTCTAATAATCAGCATGGCTATCTGAAAAATAAGTCAATTGAAACTGCTTTGATGTATCTCAGCAATGAAGTCCTAGAAGCAATGGACAAAGGAGATCTATCATGTGGAGTTTTCATGGATTTATCTAAAGCCTTCGATTGCATAGATCATGACATTTTATTATGGAAACTCTATAAATATGGAATTCGTGGAAAATCGTACGACTGGTTCAATTCATATTTGAAAAACAGAAAGCAAATAGTAGAACTGAATCAAAAAAATAAAACGGCAAGATCTAATGCTTTGGATGTGTCTATGGGTGTCCCACAGGGTAGTATTCTCGGACCAATATTATTTATTATATTCATCAACAATATTAATGAGGATATACCAGACATAAACACTGCTCACATGATCAATTATGCTTATGATACCAATCTTCTATTAACAGGTGTGAACTTACCTGATATCAAATCAAATTGGATACTTCTTTTACTATGGATATTTTTTTACTATCCTAGTTTACACCCAACTGAACCATCTCATGGATTCCACCGCTGAGCATGGGTACTTAATTCCAATTGCCCAAGAAATTCAAGAAGTGCAAAAACATACCTGACCAATGTAAATAGTGATTTTTTTATGCACGCGAATGCTTCTGAGCGAACTAGAGCACTCATAAATTTACCAAATGGGAAGAAAAGTACAACCAAAACACAATGTGCCAATATCAAAACTACCCTCTCTTCATTATCACCTGATATTTAATCGGTACGGAACAAAACTTATGAACTCTTGATTCTTTTTGAATCACAGAATATGCCAGATTTCGTTCTTCTCACTGAACACTGGCTAAGAGATTGTAGCCAAATATAAGCTACAATGACACCAAATGATCATTTTCAAGAGGAAGATCAAACTAAACATACTCACACTGTTACTATGTTATTCATATATCTTCTAGGTACCTGCGTCTAAAGTGTTTTGAATCAATTTTACAATATTGCCTCATCTACTAGTTTCGAATCTTAATCTTAGTCTCAATATAAGACTAGTAGATAAGGCAATGTTGTGAAATTAATTTGAGACTAATAGAAGAGGTATCTATGGTATAAATAAGGTTACCATTTAAGTATGTTTAGTCTATATTTCATCAGTTCGGACTTCCATTATCTAATATAATATAAAATGATTTGAAATCCCTCAAAAAAATTCAAAAGAAAATTTTCCGAAAATAACAATTGTATCAAACAAAGAACTGAAATTACCAAGAAGTAACATACAAGTACCACCCAAAAAATAAGAAATTGAAATGATAATAAAAGCTGAAAACTGAAAAATATCACTCGAAGACGATTGTGTGTACTAACAATCGAAACGTCGTGACGTAACTTGGTTTGACTCCAGTCTTTACTGTCTATAGAGAGCGATTAGGTTACATTTTTCCACAAACTTTGTAGAAATCAAATCGTGAGGTGTAGTGTGTGGAATTACTATGGATCTTCATCAAGTAACGGCCGAATCAATCAGAAAAGTATATCTTTTCATCGGTTTTCTTCAATATTATTAAATCGTGAAATGAATCAACTGAGACACATCAAGAGAAGCGCAATTCTTCATCTTGAAACTATAAGAATATGCATTTGGAAAAATGATTCAACCCCTATTGTTTGAACAACAAAAGATTTTCTATGACCATTTTCCACAGACTGAGTAATGGCTTCAGAATTATGTTGACTCCAACAATTATAATTTGATTTGTGAAACTTTTATTTATTATATCATCACACATTTCATTTCAGCTCAAGTATTCAACCGATAGGTGATTCTCCTGCTTTGGGAATATTTCGGAAATCGACTTGAATTCAGAGATTCAAAAAATAATACTTGTTCAAAAAACTTCCATCATTTGAATTTCAAATCGAAAGTTATCACAAAACCACGGTGAAGTTCAATTTGCTTATTCAAACTTCCAACAAAATAATGAAATATTCAACATTTTTTACGGTACATGAAATCAGTAATTATATGATAATTCAACTACAATAATTATTGAGTACAAGCAGTTATTGTTCATTTATCTATAGGCAACGAACTCGGAAAAGTCATTTCAAAATTGAGCTCATTATTTATAAATGACCAAGAGATAGAAAGTTGTTTGTGCAAAAAACGGCCTTCAAAATGTAAAACATGAAAAACTGAATATGTTGTTTTTATTTTGGGAAAGAAACGATTTTGACTTTCTACTTCTCCATCTTCGAACAAAAAAATGTGAGAATCTTCCAAAGAAAGTAAGAAAGGAATCAATTTCAAAAATGAACTCTTCAACAAAAAATAATATCAAACATATACCTACCCCGCTACAAGATTTGTTTTTACCGGAAAGGGGAGTCTTGTGATACCTCGTTCAATCAGTAATTTAATTTTAGATCTAACACTGATACCATGCGTTGTCTGGAAGAGAATACTTCCACCTTTCTTCGTGCATTTTGGTAGCTTTGGTTGACTAAAAATAACTGAAACTCTATTTAACGTATCAATACGGTTACGGGATAAACAGTGTGTGAAAGCCAAATGGAATAAATTCAGTATTTCGGTTACGGTATATATTTCAACAAAATCCGGAAACAGGTCCAATTTAAATTATAATTTGACATACTTCAACAGAAAAATGCTACCTCTACCTTCAACCCCCATCAAATGACAGGTACAACCACCAATTTTTCAAACAGGAAATATAGGCTTGTGATATATCGTTTGGAAGGTCTCTTTATTACTTAAAAATCATGTGGTTGAAGAAATTTAATAGAATACCCTCAAAACTTATTGCAATATACTCAAAACTTATTCCATGTTGAGGTATTGATGATGAAAAAGTAAGCAAAAACCATAGTAATGTTCTTTTTAGATGGTATCCTTCAAAAAACTGTGAATAATTTCTATGGCAACGTTAGTTCATAACGCCTTTTCATCTTGTTTTGTAAGTTTCAATAGGTTTGATTCATTAATTCTCAATTTTAACCCAGTTTTCAAAACTTTAAAAAATTGTACGTGCTTCTCATTCCAGCGTTGATCATCGACTTTTTAGCTTTCCCTTTCAACAAACTCCAAATCTCCTTGGCAACCAATTTTGGAAAATTCTAGATGCTGTCAAAACCTTCTAATTTGTAAATTCTGGCACTTCACTCAAACTACACTTAGTTTATTAACCATTTGTACTCATAAACAAACTCTAATATCTAATATTTACAATATTGGTTGTCTTATAACAATTCATGTTCTGTATTTTACAAAATTAATTTTTGAAATTTGCATTTGGCAAAATTCATGAGCTCCTCTCCAATT